CGCCCCCGGCGCCTCGCTCCTGCGTCCAGAAGAGGATCGAACTTGATCATTTAGAGGAAGTAAAAGTCGTAACTAGGTTTCCGTAGGTGAACCTGCGGAAGGATCATTACCGAGCAGAGAGAGCGTGCCCGGCCGGCCCCCTTCCGTCCACCGAGACGGAGAGGGCCGGCCACTGTACTGTCTTCCGGGTGTAGGCGGGAGTGGCCCAAGCCGGGGTGCGCCCGAGGAGCCGCGATGACAGTGGCTGCAGGCGGCAACAAGGGGAGTGCCAAGAGACCGGGAGGTTGCGGCGCGGGTCCCCGGCTCTCCGGGGAGGATGATATGCGAATTCTGCGGGCAGGCGAAGGGTCACCGGCCGGCCGCGGTCTCCGCGCGGAGGGCTGAGTGGCTCCTCGGGGGAGTCCGCCGTGGTGTGGCAGGTCGGCGCTGAGTATCCGCCCCACCCACGAGCGCCGGTCGTCCCCCCGGCCGAACAAGAAAGACACGGGAGGCCTCGAGGGAGCGCGCCGGAAGGAGGCCAGGCAGGCAGGGCAGGCCAAGAGAGAAAAAAGTGAGACCAAGCCCAGCCAGCGGGGACCGAGTGCCGCCGGCCCCGTGGCACATCTCCAAGTGGACCGCCGGAGAGGGAGCGGGCGCCCAGCGCCGAGAGAGAGAGAGAGAGAAGAGAGCCCGCGCAGACGGGCCGCAGAGGGGCCCCCCCTTCCTGGCAGCCTCCAAAGCGCCGGTTGGGCCCCCAAGACTCAAGATAGAGAGAGAGAGACGAGGCCTATTGCGAACCCATCGACCTCAGGTCGGGCGAGAGGACCCAATCGATTTAAGCATATCACTAAGCGGAGGAAAAGAAACTAACCAAGATTCCCCCAGTAGCGGCTAGCGGGAGTCGGGTTGTTTTGTAGCGCAGCCCAAAGGCGGGTGGTTAACTCCATCCAAGGCTAAATACCGGCAGGTGACGGTTAGAGCACAAGTACCGTGAGGGAAAGTTGAAAAGCACTCTGAAGAGAGAGTTCAAGTGTACTTGAAGCCGTCGGGCCCAGGAGATTCAGCGCACCCCCTAGCCGCCAGCCGCCAGCCCCCCGCGGCTGCGACGGAGGAAGAGCGGGCACGCTAGGACCCGAAAGATGGTGAACTATGCCCGAGCAGGACCAAGCAAGAGGAAACTCTGGTGGAGGTCTGCAGCGATTCTTACCTGCAAATCGATCGCCCTACTTGGGTATAGGGGCAAAAGACTAATTGAGCCGTCTAGTAGCTGGTTCCCTCCAAAGTTTCCCTCAGGATAGCTGGCGCCTGGGAAAGAGAGAGAGAGCAGTTGCATCCGGTAGGCGAATGATTAAAGGCCTTGGGGCCGAAACGACCTCAACCTATTCTCAAACTTTAAATTGGTGCGGGGCCCTACCTGCCGGCTCAGGGCCGGGCCCTCAATGCACGGGCGCCCAGTGGGCCATTTTTGGTAAGCAGGACGGGCGCTGCAGGATGAACCGAACACCGGGTTGGGGCGCCGCATTGCGGCCGACGCTCATCAGAGCCCAGAAAAGGCGTTGGTTGATACGGGCAGAAGGACGATGGCCATGGAACTCGGAGTGTGTAACAACTCACCTGCCGAATCAACTAGCCCTGAATATGGACGCTGAGCGTGCCGCCCACACCCGGCCGTCGGGGCAGAGAAAGAGTGGGACCGCTGCCCGGGTGGTACGCCCCGACGAGTAGGAGGGCCGCCCCGGTGCACGTCGAAGCGCCGGCCGCGAGGCCGCGTGGAGCCGCCGCGGGCGCAGATCTTGGTGGTGGTAGCAAATATTCGAGTGAGACCCTCGAGGGCCAAATGCTGAGAAGGCCTCCATGTGAAGAGCAGTTGTAAATGGGTCAGTCGATTCTAAGCCCCACGGAAGATCCGCCCCGACCAGAGGCGCCCCCCTTCTCCCGGGGCCAGGGACTCGCCCCTTGGGCGAAAAGGAATCGGGTCAATATTCCCGAACCCGCAGGCGGAGTCCTCAGTTCTTCTAGGCGGTCCGAGCTGCGAAGCAAGTGAGCCCGCAGACGTGTCCTAAGGCGAAGTCAGCGAGGGCGGAAATCTCACGCAGAGCAAAAGGGCGAAAGCTCGTTAAATTTTAATTTTCAGTATGAATACGGACCGTCAAAGCGTGAGCTGCTTCTGGGAGAGGGGCACCGCCACGCGAAGAGGCGGAGATGCTGGGGTCCAGCAGCGGGGAGAGGAGGTTGAGCGCGGAGGGCCGGCTGGCGCCGCCCGGTGTCCCTCGGGCAGACCGCACTTGGAGGAGGAGACCGGGGAGGACCAGCGGCGGGCGCGGCAGGAGGGCCCCCGGGCCGGGACAGGCGGTGGGGCCCCGTCGCTAGTGGGCCGGACGTTTCCCAGACCCGGCGGTGCAGCGGGTGCAGCCGGAAGAGGGCATGCCGGAACTGACGGCGGAGTGAACGAGCACTTCTCCGGTGTCCAAAGTTTGGCTGCTGGGCTGCATGTCTGACGCGGCCGCCCCAAACTGACTTGAAATCCACGGTTAATAGTGTACCCCGCAGGAAGGCTCTGGGGAATAGAACTTACTAAACTTATCAAACTATTCGGGAAAAATTAATCAGCAAACAACACATTGTGACAAACACTTCAGTAAAAAAAAGTCCCTTATGATAAGCTTCAGTAAAAAATCAGAGAAGGATAAAGGTAAATCAAGACGGTCTGCTAAATGTTTCAATGTTGAAAAAAAGTTGTTTTATTTTTACGCGAATCTAAAAGAAAAAGTTTGAGTACTAGTACTCACAAGATTTCATTCTCTGAACAAGCAAAGTTATTTGGTTACTTCTGCAAAGAGTATTCAGTGCTGTCTAATGTAGAAAAACACAAATACCTAGAAATGTGGGAAGCAAAAAAGAAGCCGAGTATCGAGCAGAAAAAACAAAAACTGAAGTGGAGGATTACAACGCTAATATTGCTCCTTTTTACAGAAATCTTTAATTCAAAAATTGGATTAAAACCGCATATGCCTCACGTGATTATCCCCGCATGCACAGGACCAGAGAACTGAACTCAGGGACAGGTGGACACTCACATTCTAACTTTTGTGTCGATTGGCCTGAGCAGCCGTTAATTGAACTTGACACAGTTCAGGTTGTTCCCGCCCGAAGCTGGTGACGTGGAACTGCCAAAAATTACATTGCGCACAATCAAAGTATAGCTACTCAGCAATATATGGAAATAGTTCCCGCCCGAAGCTGGTGACGCGGAACTGCAAGTATATCTTACATTGCGTTTCAGGCAAAGTGTAGCTAGTCAGCAAAAATTACAGAGATTGTTCCCACCCGAGCCTGCTGACGCGGAACAGCAACTCATATCAGCAAATACATAGAGCTATCAGCAAAAAATGTATGAAAAGCAATTATCATATCAGCATTTGTTTCTGCCCAAAGCAGAAACAAATGAGGGGTAAATTAATTTTGGAATGTACCTGCGCTGTACAAAGCAAATTCAAACAGCAATTACATCTAGCAGAATGCAAAATTACCCAACTGTCATGAACAAATCAACAAGGATTTACTCCAGCATACAACAACTTTGGGCCAACCATCAAACACTGGGATCAGACAGCAATGTTCACGATGTGCGGCCCGACTTGGGCTTACACTGGGTTCCAGGAACAACAGGCAACTAATAAGCATCTGAATAAAAATGGCAGTATGCGGCAGTACGTCTCTGGTCAAATTGATGTACTGCCGTGCTAGAATACTCAGTAAATGTTTGTGTACAAGCCCCAGGTCGTTGGCGGATAATGACGCCATGTAAGATCGGAACTGCCGACCACGCTTCCAACAGGAAATCGGAGAACTGGAACATCTGGAGTCTTCGCCGTCCCATCTAGTGGATACAGGCCAGCCGATTAAGACGT